TCTATATATATAGATAGATAGATAGATAGATAGTTAGATATTATATAGATAGATAAATAGATATGTTTATCATCGTCTTTACATCTCTCCGCCTGCTTTTCTTTGTACGTTAGCTCTGGCAACACCTGTAACCTAAGCAAGGCACTTACATGACGACCTATTTGTGTTGCCAGTGCCGTAAAACTCGTACTAGAACCACACAGCTGTTGTTTGCCCACCATCCAGGAACTGCGGGGTATGAGGAGGTTAGAGGGAGGGAATGGAAGGGAGGGAGGGGAGGGAGGGAGGGGGGAGGGAGGAGGAGAGATGGAGGGGGGAGTGGGGAGGAGAGGCCTAGGGGGGAGGGAGGGAAGGGAGGCTGAAAAGCGGAAGGGAGGAGTGGGGGTCATTCAATGATCCAGCTAACAATGGACCCGTCTTTCTCTAGAGCCTTCTTGTACAAATCGACCGCACAAATCAATGCCGTTCACACGTGGGACATTAAGGAAACTCTTACAAAAGGGTATGGGATATTAAGTAAGGAAACTTTCATCTACGGAGCGGGATTCCGACCCTGCCTGTCAGGGCCAAACCGGGATACAACATCCCAGCAGACAGACTCGGGCTGAGAGGGATACAACATCCCAGCAGACAGACCCGGGCTGAGAGGGATACACCATCCCAGCAGACAGACCCGAGCTGAGAGGGATACAACATCCCAGCAGACAGACCCGAGCTGAGAGGGATACAACATCCCAGCTGACAGACCCGGGCTGAGAGGGATACAACATCCCAGGAGACAGACCCGGGCTGAGAGGGATACAACATCCAAGGAGACAGACCCGGGCTGAGAGGGATTCAACATCCCACGTGGAAATCGAACTCGGGTCTCCTGCATGCAACAGTGAACCACCAAACCACTACACCATCGACGCCGGTGAGTTGAAATGACCTTGTGGTGACCTTGTGGTCAGTTGTGGTGACCTTGTGGTCAGTGTGGACATTCAGTCCTGGGTTTCGGACAGTCCAGTGACGGACCACGGTTCAGGTCACGCTGTGTTGGTTACTTGAAGAAAGTTGTGACTTTAGCAGAGACTGTTCCCACCATTTGGGAACTTCGCGGTGACGGTAAAGATGGTTCCAGTAGGGAACGGGATAGAGGGTGCCCACGTCCCTCGTGACTCATTGGAGCAGAGGAAGATAGGACTAACGCTAACATTACTTAAAGGCAATCCCACAACATTACTCATCCGTTTTCTCTGCTCATATGACCTTATGCAGTTGCGAGCGCCGTAAGACCTTACTAAAACAAACAAAAAGGACTCTCAACCATGAGGTCGCGATTTTGAATCCCGTCAGGGGCCTGGCGTTGTGTCCTTGGGGTAAAACTCTTTACACGTATTTTCTTCACTTCATCGAAGTGGGAATGGGTACCCAGCTATAGACAATGAACGATCTTTGTTAGTGTTTGAGAACTTAATCGCACTGTATGCTTCCCTAGAAGTTGAGAATGTTTCTGAATGTTCTATGTGGTCCGCTGGGGTAATCAAGTTGATTGTAAAGCGTATAGAGCTTGCTGTAGAGCGGGGATATTCGCTATAGAAATATTATCTATTCATTTGATATCATCATCATCATCATCATCATCATCATCATCATCATCATCATCATCATCATCATCATTATTATTATTATAATTATTATTATTATTATTTGTATAATTATTATTAATAGAGATAGTTCAGTTCTGCTGCCACAATCTGTAACTTGACAAGACAGGAGACATCACGCATGCTCTGACATAATTATGCAAATTTGTGTTTGTGACTTGTGTGTGACGATGGGAGTTGTGGCCCAACGTGTTCGTCTGGTGACTGGACATGTGTCCGCCATGGCAGGAAAGGGTTAATGACTGGACATGTGTCCGCTATGGAAGGAAAGGGTTAATAACTGGACATGTGTCAGCCATGGCAGGAAAGGGTTAATGACTGGACATGTGTCCGCTATGGAAGGAAAGGGTTAATAACTGGACATGTGTCAGCCATGGCAGGAAAGGGTTAATGACTGGACATGTGTCCGCTATGGAA